ATTTATGATCCTTTTGATTATTAATCCTTTGCAAATTGTTAATCGTGTTGTTTACACATCAATTTTGCGATTTAATCATTTGCATTTAACTTTTTATTTCATTTCTATTCTCGTTCATGATTATCCTGATTGTTGGTGTGTTTCTATTTCTTTGAATTGAATTAATTTGATTTATATGTTAATTCAATTGAACACCAAATGATTAGCAATCATCTTGTGTGTTCACCTTAGATTTACCTTTCTTGGTTAATCAGTTAATCCGTTGAAAATGTTTGATGGATTAAAACTGATTACATTTCATTTTTAATCAAATGGTTTAACACTTGATTTAATTTCATTGATTATCCTTAAATATGTTTATCTATTAAATATGATATAATTTACATTACAACAAAAATGGTTAATGTTCAGTCAACTGTTTAAATCAATTGATGATAATTAAGGATGAAAAGGTGATGATGATGATAAAATTTTGCCTCTTCTACCTTGTAAACTACATTACCTTACAATCAGCTGATTGTATCTTAGATTAACCTCACCTAATGGAAATGAAGAGATAATCAGTTAACTAATTAACTTGGAAGAGGAAAAAAATGATTAAAACTGTCACAATAATCAACAGAATTGATTTAATTAGTTGATTAATTTTCTGGCTCAATAAATGATCAACGTAAAGGTGGAAATTGATTAGTTGATTGTGAGGGAAACGAAAAAGGATAAAGATTCAAATAGGAGATAATTAATATTCAAATTTGAAGGATAAAATTATCATGAGAAAACAAGTATTCAGATGATGATAAATGGGGAAGAGTCAATGATGATAAGGATGAAGATGAGGATGCTAATGATGAAGTGATGAAAAAAGGTTTGATATTAACAGTAATTATCCAATAACTCGGGCGGGTTGATGCTAATTAACGTGAAAAACAATGAATACCAATTAATAATATCGATGATTAAAGGTAGCAGGATAAGTTTATCATCCATGATTATAGCTTTGGATGATGATAAAGATGATGATGATGATGATGAGCCTTTCAAATGGGTTGGACTTGAGTTTAAAATGATCGTAATTATAGAGAGGCAGAAAAAGAGATTGAAAAAAAGGTGAAGACAAAAAAAAAGAAGCAGAACTTGCATAGTTATCATCATTATCTTCATCATTGACACCTTTATCTTTCACCTGATTCTGATATTCTTGGTGCTCAATTATCATGGAAAACTGATTAATTAATTTCTCTCCTTTTCCAATGAGTTTTCTTGAATCTACATTGAGGAAAATCAATCATCTGAAATAATCACCATGAAAATTGATTACAAATTTTCATCATTAATCTGAATCACTTTTTTTCACTTTTTTCATGATGATTTATCATTTATTCAAAATCTCAACTTCTTGTTTGTCCTGAATCCAGATCCTGATGAAATTTCATGATATCTTTGCCCTGAAATTATTACATTAAACTAACTTTCCGATTGATTTATCATTTGAATTATATATCATCATGATGATATTTGTGAGTGAGAAAAAAGTTAAAGGATAATCAAAGGTAAATGAATTTATCATGTTTATATTTTATCTCAGTCAATCGATCAGCATGAGATTATTAGTAAATCACAACAAAAATTATTCTCATAATAAAATGTATGATATTTGGTGACAATCAACTTAATTGTTAGCTGTCAACACATAACAAGTCAACTGAATGAAAAAGTTTCTGATTGCAAATTTCTAATCATGATTAATCTTATTGCCACTGCTTCATTAATCGTAACAATTTAGACTACAAATTCAATCGATTCGTTGTAACCAACAATCTAGCAACAATTAATTTACAAATTTATTTAGCAATTGAAATTGTAATCTGATTACAAAATTTTCTTTCATTGTAAACAATTAACACTAACAAATTCAATATATAATCTGGTACCTTTTCTTTGCACCAATTCAATAGATAAATTCAATCTAATATCATCTTGATGATGATCATCTTCAAATTAATGATGATAATACTTAAATTCATTTCTTTCCAGGTATCAACATCATCTCTAACAAAGTGGATAAGGAAAGATGATAAAGTTTTCTTTTCATCATCAAATCTAATCCAGTTTACCTTTTTATTAGAATCATTTATTTATCTGTTTTCTCATTTTCAGTTTTATCACTTGAAGTTTTTTGCTCCTCTTTCATCTCTCTCTCTCATCTTCCACCTCCCACTCCTCCCTTTTTCTGGTTCTTTTTAATTTTTTATATGAACAATTGTCTTCTTTTTTCCTCTAATCTTCCACCTTCCTCATCCTCCTTCTTCTTCTCTTCATCCAGCAAAAAAGTTATTACTCTTGTTTTTCAATAGAAAATGAACTTAATTCTCCCACAACAGAAGATGAGGATGATGGAAAATGGAGAGAGAGAGAGAGAGAGAGAGAATCTTTTTTCATCCGTCTTCTTCTAATACATATAATCAAGAGCATCCTGGAAGATATTATCTCATCATCATCATCAAACACTGTCTTCCTTTGATAATCAGGTGATAATGAAAATAGTCTCTCATCAAATTAAAGGCTACTAAATTTATCATCTTATTGATATAAAGGTGATAATGATTATGGTGATCGGTAAAGATGAGAAGTGTATTATTATCATTTAAAGTGCAAAGATGATGAAAAAATAAATGATATTTTCAAATTGATAAATTGACCATTTGAATTTTGACCATTCGCTTTTCCTTGACTCTCACATAATTATGGTCAAGTTTCCCTTCCAAACTGAATACAATTCAAAGTATCAAATTGATGGTCACTTTCAATATTCGGACAGTGTCAAAGCTCAGTAATAAATTGATTGTAACAATTTTAAATGAAAAATCTTTTGACGATTTGATTACTTTGAAAATTTTTCTCTCTATTGGTTATTAGGAAACAATCTTGATGATTTGATTGTTTATCATTAGGAAAATTGTTTCAAAATATCATTTAACTGATTGGTAATATTTTTATCATAATGATGATCATATTCAATCATGTTAATCCTTTTCAAATGTCATTAAAAATGATTTATAAATGACATTGTGAGGATAATTAATTGACCTGATAGTTTGACAATTAAGATGATGATTAACCATAAATACATATATTGTTAACTCTTATTACTGTAGCTAAGTTTAGAATCAAGTTAACTACTTGGTTAGTTTACTAGTTAACTGGTTTAGAAATTTATTATTAGCTATTAGTAAATATCGTCCTTATCATTGGGATTATCTTCAGTGAGTGAGTGAGTGAGAGAGAGAGAGGATAATCTCAGCTTGATGAGGTTAAAAATGTTCAAATAACAAACATGAAAGTTTTCAAAAAGTTTCGAACATTTGATTTACACAGAAATTTCGAAAAAGCAAAAGTTATCCAGTTAACGATTGTATCAATGTCATCATAATAGAAACAAGATTGACGGGAGAAAATGATGAGGAAGATGAGGCAGAAGAAGAAGAAGAAAAAAAGAAGAGGAAGAAGAAGAAGATGAAGATGAAGATGATGATGAAAGAAAGAAAAGATGTTTGTATATTCTTTTAAAATTTTACTTTCTTTTGACTTGGAAAAAAATATTAAGGAACCAAAGAGAAAAAGAAGATGAGGATTCGGCCTAAGGCCAATTCGTTACGTTTTCATCTTTCTCCTTTTGTCTTCCTCATCCTTTTCTCATCTCTCTTTTTATCTTCCATGTATTAACTTCAGCCATTGATGATAACTTGATGTATGACTTACATCTAACTCTAGGAATTTGTGTCTTCTATTATCATCTTCCTCTCATCTTTTCAATCTTTTACTTCTCATCTTCCTCATCATCTTTATCATCCTAAATAATTCGGTGCCTTTTCTTGACTCTCTCTCTCTCTCTCTCTCTCTGCTGTTGCTGCTTTATCATCAAGTTGCAAACAACATCAACGCATCAACATCATCAATCTCATTAGTATTTAGTAGCAAATGCTGATAATAAGTAAATCTCATTATCTTGAATAGAGAAAAAGAAAAATTTTTTCTCTTCTCCTTAGCAATGAAAGGAATTTGTTTTTTTCACAAATAACAGTTACAATTAAAGCTTAATTGTGGTTGATACACCAACAGTTAACGAAGCAATTAAACTTTACAATTGTACTTTATCCAAACAATTTCATCTCATTTGCAACAATCAACTTTATCCAACTAAAGGTAACCAATCAATTAGATAATCTTTCAAATAGATCACAAAGTAATAAGAAATTTTCACAATTACATCTGAAATCTTAATCTTGTTGCATCAATTTACCTGAAAATTTATCTTCCATCTCCTACTCATCATCATCATCATCTCTCTAGAAAAAAAATTATGCAAATAAGAAGAAGATGAGAAGATAATATTCAAATTTTTCTTCTTATGTTATTGTTGATTTTTTTTCCATTCTGAGCTTACAATTCAATCACCTGAGATAATTTCAATTTACGTGTTCATGGGACTTTATTATCTTCATGATGATCATGAGAAAGGAAAAGTTTCTCAATAATAATTGAAAAAAGAAGAAAAAAAAATTCAGCTGAGATTATTCACAATTTCATCTAAATTCATGGTAACCGAAAAAATCTTAAGCCTTTATCATGATTCCTCTTCCTCATCATGGTTATCATGATGATCATGTTTAAATCAGTTAACTGGAAACCAATATCATTTCATGCATCACATGATAAATTTTATTCTTCATCTTCTTCATCTTCTTATTCATCTTCTTATTCATCTTCTTATCATCCTCATCAACTAAACAAGGTAATTCCTTGGAAAACAAAAGGATAGGAAGCAAATTACAGCAACAGGCTTCATCTTCATCCTCATTCTTATCATCCTCATCATCTTCATCTTCATCTTCATCACTGATTAAAAAAAAGTTCCTGAAACCTGAATAATAACAGATAATGACTATTAGATAATCAGATTAATATTCAAGAGGAAAAAAAAGTTTTCTATGAACAATGAATTTAATTTTCGAGGTAACAATTTTAATCCAATAACATTTAGTAAATTGTAATCATATTAATTTAACACATGAGAGGAGAGATTTAATTTGATTAACAATTAATATCATTTAGTGTTAATGATAATAAACTTTTCTCATTTCCATTGATGTTACAATGATAACCATGGATAACTTTTTTCTGGTCAATCTTTAACTGGACAATCCATTGGGTTCTTGGACAATTACATTGGAAACGATTGTGTTTAACATTAATTGTTGATGAGATTTCATTTCTACTCATTGTAACAATTAGTTGATTGAAAACATCTTCAGACAGTGAGACCAATGAATTGTATCTTAAATCAAGATAAACTGGATTAAGATTATCAAATGAGCCAATTGCACAATGAAACAATTGATTATAAGTTAAGTCAATTATCAGTTGATTATTTTTATTTGTATTAATTGGATTACCGGCTAATGCATAATTGTTTAGGATTTTTAATTGATTATGAGAGAGAATTAATTGTTTCAAATTGATCAGCTGAGTGAAGGCATAAGAACCAAGGTAAGTTAAATTGTTATAAGATAAATCAATCGTTTGGATTATTGGATTAAAAGGGAAACCATAATCTGGAATAAGTTTTAATCCATTTTGTCGGAGGTCAATATCTTTAAGATTAGGATAAGATGATGGAGATAAGGATGAAAAGGGAAAGGTGTTTAAATTGCATGAGATTATCTCAAGACGACGTAAAGATGATGATAAGATTGACGATAAACATGATGAAGATGCTGGTGGACAATTTAATCCAGTTAATTTTGATAATCGTAAATGTTGAATTGGTTTGTTGATTGTGAGTAAAAAATTAGAGTCAATTGATTGATTGTAAAGTGTTAATCGGCCTAATGATGAGTAGGCAAGATTATTGATCAGGTAAGATGAGGATAAAGATGAACAGGTAACTATTGGATAAGATTCTGGACCATCACATGTACATGATGGTCGAGATGATGAGGATAAAGATGATGGACAAATTGAATTTCCAAAGAATTGAGTTGTTTTATCCTCTGGTGTTGATGATGATGATGAAAAGGATGATGGTGGAAATGGGAGTGATGGTGAGTAGGGTGGGTGGTAAGGTAAAGGTGGGTAAAGGTGAAAGACTGAAGGGATTGATGATAAATCAAAATAGGTTGTGTAAATTGTGGTAATTGGATCAATCCAGGAACCTAAATTAATCCATGATTTTGATTGTTGATTGTTGCTTGTGGTTGTTGTTGTTGATGTGCTGGTTGATTGTATGTGTTGATTAGATAAAGGTGAAAATAACCAGAAACAATTAACTTGATTATGATTGTTACTGGTTATGATTAATGATAGAGTTAATAAAATTGTGAAAACGTTGAACATGTTGATTGGTGATAATCAAGTTGATTAAATTAGTTCATTTGTCTGATTATAATGATTAGTAAATAACAATTTTGTTTTTTTTTTCACTCGTTGATTTGATTGTCTAATCGTAGTGAGATGATTAAGTTAATTGATTAGCTTAGTTGACAATAATCATCGTATTGATGATCACATGTAATTGTAAATGATTAACTTGGTTTTTTTTTCATTCACTGGTCTCTGATTGTAATAATTTAGAGTTGATTAAATGATGAATTTTTTTCATCTTGATTAACTTGATATAAGAGGTACAACAATTTAATGATTCTGAATGATGATGATGATGATGATTAATTGATGTCCCTGAAAAAAAATGATGATATTTGATCAGTTGTTATTATTTAGACAAATAATGTTACCAATTAATTGTTGACAAAATTTATCTAATTGTTGATTATTTTCAATTACAATTATTTATTGATTAACTTTTTCCCTTGATTGTTGTCAATTGTTAGACACAGGATGTAACCTTAATCAAAACCATTTCCTTTTATGATTAAATAATTGTGACAATTTATGGTTAATCATTAAGTTGAGATCACGTTTGTTGATTAACTTTTGACTTGGAAAAAAATTATATAAAAGTAATTAAGTTAATTGTTTCAATTAATATTATTATTCTGACGACCATCATCATCATGATATTCAATTATGGTTAATTTAATTTACAATCAATTGAAATTTTTTTGATCCAATTGAATTTGATTGTATGTTCAATTGGATCATGAAGTTAATCATAACAATTAAAGTCACGTTGTTACCTGAGTAAATAAAGTTGCCTATGACAATTAAATTTGTTGATAATATGACAACAATTAGTTTGATTGGTTCGATAATAATAATTTGGATTATTAATCTAACGGTAAAAATCAGATGAATGGATAAAGATTATCAAAAGGATTAGAGTTTTTTTTTCATCAGCAATTATAATCCATCGGTTTGTCTCAATTTTTACAGTTAATCCTGTCGAGTTAATCATTGAGATTAATCAGGATGAGTCATTCATTGACAGTGTCCACTTGAGGATGGACATGATTGTCCATGTCATTGGGATCCACACCTTAGTTTATTTTTAGTACTTACAATGTTATCAAGTGGTCAAGATGGACACCTAAGTGTTATCTTTATATTTGAAATTTAAATCAGCTCCTAGTTTCTTAATCCAATGATCAGATTAATCTTATCTCTCTCTCTCTCTCTCTCTCTCTCTCTCTCTCTCTCTCTCTCTCAATTTTAAGTGCCGATACTTGACAGTTGTGGACAATGGTCAATGGGATGGTGAGGTGATGATTACTATTACTCTATTTTGGTGCCAATAAGTTGTAAGTATAAAATGTGATGATTTCTTTTCCTCTCTCGCTTTCTGACCAATGGTCAAGTATTCATGTTGTTTCCATCTTGAAAATGGTCAATCTTTTGATTGGAAATTGTAATAATATATCATGATGGACAATGCGAAACACAAGACATTTAAAGTAACAATGAATCTGTTCAAGTATCAACTTACCATGTTGTTCATAATACACACAATTGGTTAGTACTTTTTTTTTCATTCGAATTAACAAAATCCATCGGTCAAGTATTATTATCAAGAGAAGAAGAAGAAAAAAGTTGATCTATTATCTTGAGAAAAGGATATTGGTCAAGCAAATGGAATAGGGGGGAAAAAGTGATGAAAGAAAAACGATACAAATTTGACCTGGAAGAGAGACAAAGGTTATATTTCTTTAGGTGTGTCTCCACATCGAACACAACAAGTTTTAAGAAAATTTTCCTCAAAAAAAAAGTTTATTCTATTGTTGACCATTGACCATTTTTCTCTCTCAATCTGTTTCTTTCTTTTTTGTTCTTCTTTTTCTTGTTCAAATAACTAAAAGAAACACTAACCAGATACTCGAGAGTCAAGAGTGAGAGAGAGAGAGAAAGAAAGAGAAAGAGAGAAAGAAGAAGAAGATAAAAAGAATATGAGAAAAAGAGAGAAGATTTCGAAATTTTTTCTTCCAAAAGTTGAGAATAACAAATTTCGATAAAAAATATGATAAGATATTCGAGATGAACGCCACCTTTTGGTGAGAAAAAAAAGCTCTCTTTCTTTTCTCTTTCTTTTGAATGATGACCCTTGTTGCGCATGCGCAGAGACGAAATGGTAACTCCTTCTCATCATTTTCTGGTTGGAAAAGGAAAAGAGAACAACTTTTTTTTCAGTTGTTTTTCAATCGGAGATGTGATAAGATGGTTAGGTTATAATGAATAGGTTACATCACCACTGTTATGGTTTACCCCCAAACCACACATACACCGTACGTGAACCTTTCCCAAGTATTTACGAATCTGTGGATAAACCATCGGTCTATTCTAAGGTGCGAAAAAATGTCTCCTGGAGATGTGCCGCAATCACCAGTGGAATTATAACCTTAATCTTATCTGGAGTACTAACTTATACACTTTACTTAATTTCTCTTCGTTATAACAAAAGTGAGTTCATTTTGGTGATTTTCTCTTCTTTTTCAAAATTTGTTCTTTTTGAAGAACAAAAAAAAAATTATTCTTTTCTCTTTGTTGGAATATGTTTAAAATGGTGACTTTGTGTATCTCGAGTGTCTTTTTCTTGCGCATTTTGGGATTTTTGTTTCTTCGCTTTTTTCTCTCTCTCTGTGACAATTTTTCCATCTTGTGAATTCATTTCTCTTCTCTCTATGTGTTTTCTATTCTCATGTTTTTTTCTTCTCTCATCTTATGATTTTTTCTTATTTCCTCTTGTTCCTTGAACTAGTTGACTGTTTGTCCCCTGACTGTGGTGGACATGGCGTCTGTTTTAATGGTATTTGCTTATGTGATAAAGGCTGGAGAGGTTCTGATTGTACTGAATTAGAATCTGAATCATTACGATGTTTACCTGATTGTTCACATCATGGTACTTTCAATATTGATACTGGACAGTGTATTTGTGAACCCAATTGGTCAGGAATTGATTGTTCAAAAGGTAAAGTTGAGATATTAAGTGTTGATTTTTCTTGTTTCATTTAATGTTGGAAATTTCAACTATTAATATTAATATTTAATCTCATATAAAATGGTTGTTTTTTTCTTAACTGTTTTCATCTTAGAAAAATGTGACCTCAACTGTGGATCCAATGGATTTTGTCAAAGTGATAGATGTGTTTGTAATGAAGGTTGGACTGGATTTAAATGTGATCAACGTTTGTGTGACCAGCGATGTTTAGATCATGGTCAATGTAACAATGGAACTTGTTTCTGTAATCAAGGATGGAACGGAAAATTGTGTACATTAGGTATGTTATTTTAAGAAATACTTTTCTACAAAGGTCACTTTGTATATTCTTTATCTTTCTTCTGGTATTTTCAAAGTTCTCTCTCTAACTAAGCTTGACCACTCACATATTTGTGACTCTCTCTTTCTCTTCCCTTTCCTTCACATAGAGGGTTGTCCAAAAAATTGTAACAATCGTGGTGTTTGTGTTGAACAAAATGGTGAATATTTTTGCTCATGTAATGTTGATTGGCATGGAAGTGATTGCTCTTTCCCGGTGGAAAAAGAGTGTGGAGATAAAATTAACAATGAAAATGGTAAATATCAATGCTATTATCTAAAAATGACCAATTTAAAAATAGAAAGTTCGATTTATATTATTAACAGAATAGAATTGGTTTGAAAGAAATATTCTTCTAATATTTTCTCCTTCTCCGTCTCTTATAGTTGATTGTTTAGATCCTAATTGTAGTGGACATGGTGTTTGTGTTAAAGGTCGATGTCTTTGTGGCAGAGGCTGGAAAGGTGGTGATTGTTCAGAAATTGACTTAGAGCTATTAAGATGTTTACCTGATTGTTCACGACATGGAAGCTTTAATATTGAAAATGGACAGTGTATTTGTGAGCCTCACTGGACGGGAGTTGATTGTTCACAAGGTAAATTATAATCAATAGCTTCGACCATTTTCATAAGAATTTATTAATTTATTTTGTTGGTTTATTACAGAAAAATGTGACCTCGATTGTGGACCCAATGGAAACTGTCAAAGTGATCGGTGTGTTTGTAATGAAGGTTGGACTGGATTTAAATGTGAACAACGTTTATGTGACCGTCGGTGTTTAGATCATGGTCAGTGTAACAATGGAACTTGTTTCTGTCACCAAGGATGGAACGGAAAATTGTGTACATTAGGTAAAACTATCACCATGTTTAGAAAATTATTATAAATATTATCATGGTGCTCATGTGAAATTATCTTGTTCCGTTTTAAACAGAGGGATGTCCTCGAAATTGTAACAATCGTGGTGCATGTGTTGAGCAAAACGGTGAATATTTTTGTTCCTGTAACGCTGATTGGTATGGAAACGATTGTTCAGTTCCTTTGGAAAAAGAGTGTGGAGATAAAATCGACAATGATAACGGTAAGTAACTTTTATCTTCTTTAGAATCTCTTTTAAGACGATATTTATCTTTAGAAAACGGTTCAACTCAAGAACCATCTTATGCTTATTATATAAATTTGACGGTAAAAAAGGAGAAAGAGAAAGAGGTAAAGATGAAAAAAAATATGAAAAGAAAAGAAAAGTCCAGTATCGTCCAGTTCAGCGGCAAGTAGCTTACCTTTACCGCACCTTTGGTAGAATCCAACATAAGGCTCCCATGGAAGTTTAATTTCAAGGAAACTTTTGACACACGAACTGTACGATCGAAAACGATTAAGAAACTGATCTGGTTTTTGATTGTCTTTGTTATGTTTTAGAATGTAGTGAGTACTGAGAACAGAACAGAAATTTGACGATAATTTTAAAGTTAATTTTTGAATCATGTTTTTCATGATTTTCTTAGTGCAATGAAAAATCTTTCATCATGAAATATCCTCATCCTTATTTCTTGGTTTAATTTAATGAACTTGGAAAAAAAAGTAAAGTCTTCTGATTTTTAATGATAGATGGATAAAGACAAGACTTGACTCACTATGATTACTGTTGTTGATTTGAATTAAGACTGAAGTAAGATTAATGATGATTGAGAAAAAGATCCAAGTAAATCCAATTGATTTACTTTTTTTGCTGGATTTTGAGAGGCTAAGGATGATGAAGAAACTGAAATGGACTCAGGTCGAGAAAGAAAGGAAGATAAAATAGTTACTTTTCATTATCATCATCATCATTAAATGTCTATCTTCATCTCTCTCTCTCTGCTAGATTTTTACCTTGATTGAATAATATTTTTCTCAACCTGAAGATTATTTCTACCTTTACATGATAATCTAAGTTTTTATTTTTCTCTCTCCATGTTTTTCAATATCAATCTTCAATTCCATTGATCATCTTTAAATAATCATATCTCCATCATCTTTCTCTCTCTCACCCTGTGATGCTCAACTTTTTCCTGTGTCATCAAAATATTCAATTTGGATTAATGGTTAATCAATCAATCAACAAACAATATTGTGATACAATGTTTACTTCGTTGTTTTTTTGTGTGTTACCATCTTATTGTTTTTTTCTTAATTAGATGGTTTAACTGATTGTGCTGACAGTGAATGTTGTTCATCAAAGGATTGTATTAATAATCCATTGTGTCTTAAATCAGCTGATCCACTTGATATCCTATTACGTAAACAACCATTATCACCAACAGCATCTTTCTTCCAACGGATGCAATTTCTAATTGAAGATGATTCAGTTCAAAGCTATGCCCATAGGAAGGCCTTCAATGACAGGTAACAAATCTAATTAACTTTATTTTTCTAATTAACTAATTTATCCAATAATCTATTTTCTATTATTTTTTTACCTGAGTTTTTATTGTTTTGTTTATATTTTTGAGTTTTCCTTTTATATAAGTTTTTTTTAGGATTTTATGTTTTCCGTTTCCTATTTATTGTATCTGTTTTTTTCGTTCTATCATCCCGAGTGATCTCATTATTTTTTGTTTCTCTCTCGTTATTTTGCTCTATTCATTTTCTCACTAACGACCCCTTAATCTAATCCAATCTCCTCTTTACTAACATGACAAATCTTATCTCTCTCTCTCTCTCTCACTAAATGCTAACCCATTCAAATGACAGTCTCTTTTGGACGCGATTCAATTCAAGGTTGGTTTCCTTAAAACTCTGGTTGATAATCTGTTACATTGTTAAATTGTTTTCTCCATTGATTATACTGTTACAATTAAGTCAATTGTAACCTTATTTTTTTCGTATTTGTTGAATACTGTCTAGTTTACTTAAAGAAATCTCTTTGTTTAGAACTTTGTTTTCTCTCTTCTGTATTGTTCTTGTTAGGAAAATCGATTGATTTAGGTTATTTTTTTCTCTTCTATTCTTTTTTTCTAAATCAATGTTTATTGTTGAATAATTTAAGGCTCATTAACTGTAGATTGATTGAAATCTATCCAAGATTCATTTTCTTTGTTTTCTAATTCTTCCTTATTCTTATTTTTGTCTTTTGTTTTCTCTCAATTTCTATCATCTTTTTATAGCCAAGTTTCTGTTATTCGTGGTCAGATAATCTCTCCCTCAGGCAATGGCCTAATGGGGGTTAGAGTGGGTGTTGTTAATGATCAATATTTGGGTATTGTTGTCTCCCGAGATGCTGGTTGGTTTGATATTATGGTTAACGGTGGTTCTGCAGTGACCCTTGATTTCCGCCGGGATCCATTCAAACCAATCCAACGAACAGTTTTCGTCCCTTGGAATCAAATTGTGGTCATTGGTCAAATTACAATGGATTCAGATGAAATTAAAACACCTGATTATCATCGGTCATCTATTTGTGTTGAACATGATTATGAAATGATGAGACCAACCGTTAGTGGTACCTGGAAATCGGGTTTTAATGGTGTCTCATCTGTGAAAAAAATGATCCTCGAAGAGGGTAAAATTGTCCAAGAAAATATCGGTATCCCAGGAACCGATGTTAACCTTATCTACTATTCTCATCGTGCATCAGGTTACATGTCAACAATTGACCTTAATCTTACCCCTGAACGGATACCATTAACCTTACGATTAGTTCATCTTAAAATATCTCTTGAAGGTCATTTGTTTGAGAAAGTTTTCGAAGCAATTCCTCATATTGAATATACTTATTCATGGAATCGTCGTAACGTTTATCGTCAAAAAGTGTACGGTGTATCCACTGCAACTGTGTCGGTTGGTTATGAATACCTTAATTGTCAGCAGGTCATCTGGGAAGTTCAAACAGTTCAAGTAGCTGGACATGATATGGTCATTTCTGAGGTTGGAGGTTGGAATCTTGATATTCACCATCGGTACAATTTCCATGAAGGAATATTGCAAAAAGGTGATGGGTCAACACTTTATCTTAAAAATTTACCACACACAATGACCACAGTAATGGGAGATGGTCAACAACGGCCACTTCATTGTGCCTATTGTAATGGTCTTGCAATTGAACAACGTCTCCTTGCTCCGGTAGCACTTACCTCGGGTCCCGATGGATCAATTTATGTTGGTGATTTTAATTTAATCCGACGTATCACGCCCGGTGGACAAGTGACCACTATCGTTGAACTTTCAGCTTCTCAGGTTGCCTATCGTTATCACCTAACAATTGGTCCAGTTGATGGTAAACTTTACATCTCAGACCCAGAGAAACATCAAATTCTACGATCTATTAATAACTCTAATCCATCTGATCCTCGTTTCAATCTTGAGGTTGTTGTTGGCTCAGGTGTTAAATGTTTACCTGGAGATAAAAATCTCTGTGGTGATGATCGACCTGCTCGTAACGCGCGTCTTGCTTATCCAAAAGGTATTGTTATCAATCTTAATGGTGAACTATTCATCGCCGATGGTACTAATATCCGTTACGTTGATGTATCTGGAATCATTCATACACTAATTGGTGATCATTATCATAAACTTCACTGGAAACCTTTTCCATGTACTGGAACTACTCCCATTCAGAAAGTTAATCTTCGCTGGCCAACCGAATTAGCAATTAATCCACTTGACAATTCACTTCATATTCTCGATGATCATATGATACTTAAGTTGACACCCGATCTACGGATCCGTGTGGTCGCTGGACGACCTACTCATTGTTCATCAGTGATAACAGCACAAGAAGATCCAGAGTCCAAGAAAGAAGCTGAAAATTTACTTGGAACTCAAGTTTTCCTGGAAACACCACAATCAATGGCTTTTTCAACCAATGGTAATCTTTTTATTGCCGAAAGTGATTCCCAGATGATTAATCGTGTTAGAATTGTAACCGTTGATGGTCGTATTGTTAAATACGCTGGAATGGATTTAGATTGTTCTTGCATGGAAAACAATTGTGAATGTTTTAATTCAGAAGTTACAAGTGCAATCAACTCAAAAATGTCAGCTATCCCATCGATAACGGTTACACCTGATGGACGATTGTACATTTGTGATCAAGGTAATCTACGTATTCGTGCAGTTCATTCATCTCTTCCAACTCTTGATGGAGATCAAGAATACACGATAACATCACTAGAATCCCTTGAAATGTATACTTTTAATCGTTTTGGTCAACATTTATCAACGAAAAGTTTAATTACATCATCATCACCATCGTCTAGTGGGTCAACATCTAATAACAAGAAAACAATTTACACTTTCAGTTATAATGTTAATACCTCATTTGGTAAATTATCTTCTGTAACTGATTCTTCTGGTAATAAGATTCATCTATTCCGTGATTACTCAAATCTAGTAAAATCAATTGAAAACTCAAAGGGTGGTAAATGCTCCCTCACGATGTCACGAACAAAAATGTTATCCACCATAACCTCATCCGATGGATTTACATATAACTTTGAATATAATGAATCAACTGGATTAATTAAATCTCGCCTTGACTCTATTGGTGTTAATTCAATCTTTTATCAATATAATACCTATGGTAGATTAACAATGGCTGTTAATCCATCTGGTGAATCTCTTAACAGTGGATACAGTTTAACTCTAGAAGGTGTAACTGTAAAGTTAATTAAAAATCTATATGATCTCAAGATTAATTATAATAATAATAATGTTTTTAAGCGTGACAAAAGATCCCTGATCAGCTGATTCATCTTTAAAAGTGTAACATAATTTATCATCATCTTCATCAACTTTGTATTCTATTAATTCCTTGTCAATCTCATCTGTAAGATAAACTTCATCATCTTCATCATAAAAGAATAATTTTAATTGTGAATATGTAAATTGTACATAATTTTGGATACCAATGGTCAGATAAGATGATTAACATCACCTTATCTTCCATGGTTAAACTAATTAACAATTAAACTTTGATAATCTTACTTTATGATAACTTTTCTTATTTTTCTCATTAAAAGGAAACGGAAATGATGCTATCATCAGTTAATTTAATTCTTTCAAGATAATTAATTTTTCTAATTGAATTTCTAATCTCTTCCTGTTCCTTTTATCTAAATTGTGTTTTACTTTTTTTCAAGAACAAAATTAAAATCTAAAGGAGCGAATGGTCAAGAATTTTGTTTTCAATTCTTTTCCATTGTTGATTAATAATCTTTGATTCTGTTTATCGAATATTTGTCTTTCTATTTCTATGGCTATTGTTTTATCTTCTATTGGCTATTCTAATCATCTTCTAATTATGTTGTTAATCTTTAATTGTTTTCTCTCTGGTGGGTTAGTCACTTCTTCTCGGTGCTTCCATATAAATGTTGAGGCTTATTTCCGCTTCCTAATTTCCATCACATCTTCAACTTCCGTTTACCGTACTTTTAGTTTGATTACATGTGCTCTATTAATGATCCAAAGATATCGAAAGTCCAAGTGGTGGAGATGAACCTACAACTCAGAGCCGCTTTTCGACCTCATTCAGGTTGGTGGTGACTTTTATGACGAAAATGCTCGAATTCGACGATAACATTGAGACATGATTCGAAAAGATTTACCTGGTAGAACTGTTCTGACTTGACAGAGTAACGAGGCTTATCAAATTAATGACGTTCTATTTGATAGAATTTTCTTGTTCCTCTTATATCAAAGGGAAACGGAAATGATGCTATTTGAAGATAAAATGACTGACATTCTTTTCTGTCAACTTGATCTCTCTTTTTTTATCATCTTGTTGTGTCATGATGATGATCAAGATGAGAAGGAGAAAAATTCACTGGATGATTAGTTTTTGGTGATAAAAGGGAGAGGGATGAAGATACAAAGTAACTATTAAACTCTTCATGATGTGGATGAAAATATCAATACATTGAACTGAAAAAAAGATGAGCATGTAAGTTGAAAGATGATAACTTACTTTTGTTATTCTATTTGGTGTATGTGTGTTAGTAGATTTGATTTGATTTTATGTTTGATTATTTTTTCTTCTTCTATTGGATTAACATTGGCAAAAGGCTTGATGATGATGCGAAAATAGAGTTAGCATCCTCATCCTTTTCATCTTGATCATCTTTTATCCTACTCTTCATTTCCATGATATTTATGGTTAACCAGTTTTCTAAACAATTTATCTTCCTCTCTCTCTCATGTAGAGAAAGTAAATAAAAAATTTCATCTTTTATTAAAATTATCATTCTGATTGTAAACTATTCATTTTCATGATGATGAAAAGAAAGATTTTCTCAGAATATTATCCATCATGATATTGATTACATTCAATATCCAAATTAACCGTTAATTTAATCATAGATTCATTTACTTTAATCTCATTCGTCTACTAATAAACTAATTACTTTGTGTGGATGAAGATGATTCTAATGGGATGATGAAGAAGAAGAAGAAGAAGAAAAAAAAATCAGGATGAAAAAGGAAAAGGTAATTAACAAGTGAAAAGTTAATTACCAAGATTAATCAAACAGAGAGACTGCTTGTGTTTAATTGTGAAACATTGTAATTGTGTTTTACTTTTAGGGTCCGTTAATTGTTTCAAATTGTTGGAAACCTTTAACTTCAATCAAAGCTAATCAACCTTTGCCCATCAAGTTGATTACAATTGATTAAAACTAATTAGAAATGAGAATAAAGGTTAACAAAGATTAAGATACAACCAATAAATCAAAGTTTTCTCACTGATGATGATTAACTTGAAGCGATTAAATTAATTGTTATTTATTATTATCAACATAATGATAAAATAATTTTCTCAGAAGTTGAAAATGTTGGCAACAATTAACTCCAATTAATTGTAAATTAAATAACTTGTTTAAAGTAACAAAGTGTAATATAAACACTTATCACAATTAACCATTAGTTTATAAGATTCTCATGCTAATTAAGTAATTTAATTGCAATTTAGAACAATCAATGAATCAAATTATGGAAATATTCATCATATTGGTCCAATATTATCATGAGATTTTCATTTTCCTCCATTAGAATCACAGTTATAATTGTAATCAGAAAATGAAGTGACATTTTTTTTCCTCTTCTCAGCCCATCTCATCATCCTCATCCTCATCCCCGTCATCATCTTAAGAAATACATTGTAACCTGTCTTTCTCAATCATCATCTTTCCTCTCTCTCAATGAAGATGAGTAAAGAAAAAAAAGAGAATCATCTTATTCTCAGAGTTTTTTTCCTCATCTTTTTCAATGGTAAAAGATATTGGAAGTGAAATTGATTTTCTCATCTTCAAGTAACTTCCATTGAAAATTTATATTCAACATAATTGATTTTCACCCACTGAACTTTTCCACTTACAATTCTGAGTTCAGTATACATTATATATAAACACCATGAACAAAATGTTCATCTTCTCATCTTCCTCATCATCTCAATCCATTTATTGTTGATGTATTTTTATGAGGTAACTTTTACTTTCTCTTTTTTCTTCCTGTTAACTTTTTAACCTTTTTTTTCTGTACCTTGTTTATTATCTCATCTACTTTATGCTCATTATTGTTATCTATCAATTACCTTTATCGTAATGATGATCATTATTATCCTCAAGTTGATGATGATGATTAAGATGAACATCGAGTTGAATCAAGAGAAAATGTTGATAAGTTCACCTTGATCTCTCTAAGTGTAATAAAAGGTAAATATTGCAAATGGAAAAACAGAAAAAAACTAAAAATGATCAAGGTAAATTTATCGATTTAAGATGAGATATTAATACTTTCCCTTGTGATGAGGATGATTAAGATGAGGATGGAGATGAAGAAGATGATATAAGATATCAGTCTACTCCCACAGCATCTTCTTCTGTAAGTGGAGGAAAGATGAATGAGAAAACAAATACATGGTTATTAATATTATCATTATTGTGAGAGAAAATTATTATATCAATTTGCTTCTCATCCTCTTATCATCTTCATCCATTTACCTTGAATGTTTGGGTCAAATTTCTTAAAAAGAGAGAGAGAGAGGAGATGAAGAGAATGAGAAAAAATCGATTCCCAAAAGTGACTTTCATTTTCTTTCTCATCTGAAGGGTAGAAAACTGAGTTACCCGTTGGAACCATTTAACTTTATAATTGGATTACCTCAAGGCTTAAATTTATTTGTTTTATTAATTTTGTTCACAATTAACTTAATTACTCATTTAATTTTCACTTTGTTTAAGATTAACTATTGTTCAATTGAAGTTAAAGATGTTAATCATCATCGTCTGACTGACAAGTTAACTCTCTTGAGAAAATGGTTAATATTTATTTTAATCTAGACTAATGTCTACTAAGGAGACAATAGAAAATCGTTGTCTTTAGACAAATGGTTAATCGACCAATCAGATTAATTGTTCTCTTTAAAAAAAAAATTCAAATTTCGATTATTCGATTTTCGATATAAAGATGATCGAATCAATTTACAATTAATTCCCGTTTAATCTTCATACTGTTAACTTTAATTAACAAGTTTAATAAACCTTTAAGTTTATAATCAAATCTACCTTGTGAGTTAAATTAATATTAGTATTTTGGAAAGATCCTAAAAGAATTTGTAACAGACTGAATTGTGAAAGGCAGTCTCTTCTTCTGAATCGATAACTTTAGTTAAAATATGTTGGCTAGTGCCGATAAAGTTTGTTTACTAAAGTGTTTACCTTGATCACCCTGAAGTTCACCTTTCACATGGCGACCCAGGCAGGATCTTTCTAAAAGAAATAGTTTATCTCCATGGTGGGAATTCAATCTCCTCAATCTTCACATCATTCTAGTGAAAATTTAAACTCTTCATTAAGCTCATTAATAACTATTGACTCTCAAGCAACAACTTTACCGTATGAGATGGAGGAAATTATTCCAAAAGTGTCTTCTTGAATACGAAGAAATTTCTGTGTATCTACTTGAACAGTGAGAGTACCAACCAGAAGTTTGGCTCAAAGAAAAATCTACGAGGTGATTAAAACCAATTTCTTAATTGTTGGTGAATCATTAAGTGATAATGACATTATTAATCTTCCTGTGTCTGAATTAAAAAGCCTTGAACTACCCTCGTGGGTAAGAGACTTAAGACAATTGGGTTTAATTGAAACAGAACTACAGTCTCTGGTCACCCAATTAGGACGAGATGAAGATTCAATATTCGGTGCAACTGAATCAGAATTACGTTCTCTAGAACTACCTCTTGGTACAATTCGTAAGTTATTGCATTTCAGTCAATCACGTATACCTCAAGATGAACCGAGTCTCTCTTCAAGACCAATCTCTCCAAGTCCTAATAACCAACGTCTCAATGAGAATTCAACCTCAACAATGAGTCAACCATTAGTAGAAGGATTCAAGGTCTTAGCAGAAAGTTTTGCAGCATCTTTAAACAAGGTTAATAAAAGAGATCCAGTGGTAATTGAGTTCCAAAAGGGTGAAAACATGAAAGAATGGGTGAATAAAACAGTGAATAAACTTTCCTTAGAAGACATTGATGATTCAACCCGATTACGTTGTCTACGAAAAGGATTAGCTCACGAAATTTTCCATTTGGCTAATGCCATAGATAAGTCAATTACTGATTATCATTCATACCTAAAAGCATTAAGAGAAAAAATCGATTTACCCTCGATTGGTGCTAATGCGATGTTCAGATTGAGATCTTATTCATATAACTTTGAAGTTGATCCAATGACCTTTTTCTCTGAAACGAGAAGATTATTGTCTGAAGCAAAGAAAAAGAGAATCGAAGATTCTGACTTCCTTTATGATGTTTTATCGTATTTACCTAAATACATTGTCGATGAAATCTTCAAGCTTGGAGCTCACGAAGATGAACATAAAATGTTAAATGTTCTAATGCGTCATTATTATGACCATCAACAGAAAGATAAATCTAAGGAACGATCGTCATCATCAACATCATCTTCTAAAAACAGTTATAAGACTC